ATACCTGTTGGTTTGCATGAGTCATGGATGGGATTGGACTGGCCTGCTCCAGATTTTATTGTGCATTAGTGAGAGTTAGGACCAGGGGTGGTTCAGGGCAACCAATGCTGCAGCATTTGATGGCAATGGTCAAAACAGGGGATGAAATATCTTGAGCTGAGCCAGAGCAACCAGTGGCATGTACAGGATCTGGGGCTGGGAACAGGCCAGGTTGGGGAGCTAAGGTAATGCCACTGCTAGGTTGTGGCCAGAATGGGGGTGGCAGTTTGGCCTGGATATGGCTGCATTGTTCCTCTACATGTGTATGGACTTGGTGTAAGTTGTGCCAAAGTGGATTAGCCTCCAGCATGCAAAGATGCTTGTGAGAGCTAGAGTGTGTGTAGAATGGGCAGGGATAATTTTGTTTTCAGCTGGCTCACATGAGAGCTGTGTCAGGGTGTGGACCAGGTGTGGCTGGGCTGTAACACCTAACAGTGAGAACTGATTGGGTGTGGGCCATTTGGGCGAGGCTGCTGTTTCTACCAGGAGAGGAGGTAGACTTAGTCGGCTTGGGTCACTAACTTATTGGTGTGCATGAGAGACCACTGGGAGACCTGAGAGAGGAACTTCGGGAAGTCTTTGTTAAGGCACACTGTGCAGGCTACTACAAGAGACAAGGCAAAGAGCAGTTCAGACCAGACTAAGTAGCAGTAACTGCAGGCATATGTGTACCTCTGATCTGGGAGCAGGACAGACTGGGCCAGTTTAAAACATCTGTGGGCAGATGTGAGAACCATGGGAGACAGACTGAGCTGGGCCAGTTCATAACACCCATTGGCAGATGTGAGGACCATGATGGGGCATAGCACAGGCTTGATTGGGCTGCAGCACCATCCGGTTCACATTAAGGATAAGAGTGGGGGCTGACTGGACCTGGCTAGAATGCAACGCTCACCATTGTGGGCTGAAACCTAGGGCAGACCAGGTTTGGGCCAGCTTACAACACTCACTGTCAAATGCTGAACTGAGATGGGCCATGCCATATTGGGGCACAGCACTTACCAGCACATGTGAGACACAGGGGGATGTGTGGGAGCCCAGTAGGAGAGCTGTGGGAACTCCCCTGCTAGGATACTGCTCCTGCTGGTGAGTGTGAAAGCTGGGACTGGATGCAGACTAGGTTGGGCAGGGTTATAATACGTGTTGGCCTGCATTTGAAATGAGACTGGGGAGACCCAGGCTGCTCTAACCGTTTATGTCCACTGGTAGTAGCCAGAGTAAAGTTGGGCTGGCGGGGCTTTGCTGCAGCCTCAGCTCCATGTGCTGGGATGGGGGGCAAGTCCTGTCAGACTAGACTGTAGAACCACCTGGAAAGTACAAGATCTGTGGCGGGGAGAGGATCTAGTGCATAGGTTGTTTGCACCTATCTGATGGAAGGCAACTCCCAGTGGTGCGATCTGCATGGGATGTTGGGCAGACTGGACCAGTCCACAGTACCTACCAGCAGGCACAGGAACCAGACCTGGTGATAAAAACAGAGCACTTTGTTTCTAGTGTTTTTTTCCCCCTTGTATTTCCCAACCACCCCACCCCTCCAATTGAGGAAGAAGTAAAAGAAAATGTGTAAACGGTGGTCTTGCAAATCTCCCCTGATCCTTGTCTCTTCCCACCTTAATCAACCATGTAAACATCATCAAAAATAAAAGTTAAAATTTATGTAATGCAAAATAATCACAAAGTGTGTCACATCACTCCAGAATGCTCATAGAAATTTTGATGTAAAAACTAGCTCACTTGGCTAAAAAAAGTAAGATTAAATAAAATAAAATTATATATATATATATATATATATATATGCGGCACTCGCTAACTGCTACTTACAAGATCAGGAGAATACAATGCACTTTTTTTTTGCTGACAGTATGTATATACCTTGTCTCCCACTGGGACTCCAGGCAAGACCCAAAGTCAGTGTGGTCTGCAAACATCCACCTCAGGCATCATTGCCAGTGCGACTGGCTGTTGCCTTCTGTTCCCAGCTTGCACTCAATGCTGATATCTCTTCCAGCCCCCAAGCACAGTAGTTCCCAATGGTACCCTTAATCTCTGCTGCATTTTTCCACTGTCCATCCTAGTCCACATTGTCTTTCTGCTCTCTGCAACATTTTCACTACATACTTCCAACAACCCTACCTGAGAATGTACTTCCTGTGCTTTTATTCTGTCAACTTTCCCTTGTCAACATCAGCAGGTCTTTTCCATATTCAGTTGGCTTGGAATTCTCTGTTCATTTCTTGTTCTTAACCACTGTTTATCCTTAGATATTGTTTTCACTCTGATTTCTAGAGTATGTGCCTCTCAAAGCTCCCTTAAACATATTACTGTTCCTTCTACTTAATGCCTGCTCATACTGAGGGAGATGGGAATAAGCAGAAGACCTTGAACATTCCCTGCTTTCTTGATTAAGCTCTAGTGTTATTCCTCCTAGTGTTTCAGCTCTAGCCCTTCTTTTCCCCCTCATAGATGCTATATTGTGAGGACCAAATAACCTCACTCTTCCATCAAAGCTTGAGTATGTTTCTGTTTTCCTCACCTGCTGCAGTGCTGCATCAGAACTGCTCAATGGCTAAGGTTCTGCTGCTCCTCCCTACATTTTAGGACATTACTTCTATAGGGAATGGAGAACAGATGAGTGTTAAAATAGCTTCAACCGTGTCTCAATTCTTTTCTAAGCAACAAGAGAAAAGTTATTCTAGAAGAAAGATTGTTCTCTTCATCAGTCCTGTTGGGACCTATTGGGATTCTTAGATGGAAATATAGCATCAGAATGCAAACATTCTGTATCTTACCAAGGCTTCTGCTTTTAAAAGATACTTGTTTATTTCGAAAAAATGGTGATAAGGACAGAGAGTAGGAGAGGGAGAGGCAGAGTCAAAGAGACCCAGAGATATCTTCCATCCCCTGATGTGTGGGTCAGGCTGAAGTCAGAGCCAGAAACTCCATTCTGGACCCAACTATTTAGGTTAGCCTCATGGTTTTACTAAGCATATTAATCATATTAATAGGAAGCTCTATCAAAAGAGAATAGCTGGAACTGCAGGTGGCATTTTGGGGATATTTGCATTTATTTTTATTATTTTCTATCATGCAGTTTTGTAGGTAAAGAGATTACCCTTTCCTCCCACCCCAATCTCCCCCAATATGATTCTTTCCAATGTGACTACGGTACTATAGCCCATCAGCAACAGTCACAAATGCAACATTCTGTGATTTAAGTGTATAATAGCAGTTTAAGTATGGACAATATTGGATAATACAATATCATTTTGTCAGAGTGTATGTAACAGTTTTATTGGGACTCCTCCTTTTATATGAGATTACAGATGCACACTGCTATGCGTCTTCACTTACCAGGATGCTCGTCTGCATTATACAGTTCATCTCTGAGAACACATATTTATATAGCATTAGCTATGTACCTATTGCTCTTGTATTTTTCATGAAGTTTGCCTTATATCAGAGAAAACATGATATTTATCCTTTTGGGATTGGCTTATTTCACTGAGCATAATGATCTTCAATTGGGACTATTTTGTTTTAAATGTTAGATTTTTCATTTTTCATGGCTGAGTAGTATTACATGTTTGGAGCAGATGAACCACAGCTTCTTTACCCACTCCTCTTTGATGGGCATCTGGGTAGTGTCCATGTCTTCAAGATTGTGGATTATACTGCTCTGAAACAGGGTTGCAGGCTGCTTTCTAAAGTGCAGATTTCACTTCCTTTGGCTGCATTCCCAGGAGTGGGATAGCTGGGTTGCACAATGGATCAATCTTCATTTGTCCTACTACTCTCCATACTGACTTCTCACTTACATGCCACTCAACAGTGGAGTGGGGGACCATTTCCCTTACATCTAAGGCAGCAAGTGTTGTTAGTAAGTTTCCGAATGTAAGTCAATTTCGGTGGAGTTTTTGTTTTCGGTGGTGGTTTTTATTTGTATTTCTCTGATACTAGGTATTCTACATCTATTTTCATATGTCTCTAAGCTGTTAGAATTTGCTTTTTTGAAAAATGCTTGCTTATTTCCTTTACCCAAAGCATGCCACTCTATTGCAATGGGTGACCTAATGTGCTGTACCACAATGCTTGCTCTACCCAAGACAGTATTTACACACAATCCTCAGCAATTGGCTTAAAGATCCCAGGACAGTATTTTGATTAGCTTATGTGACATTCTTCAGGGTTTTTCTAAAGCTGGTAAATCTTAGGTTATGTCTCTTCTGATCTCATGAATTTTTCTCAATTTCAAGTTGCCCATTTACTGTTTATATCAGACTGCAAAAAGTAAAAAAAAAAAATCATTGATTTGAAATTCCTTCAGGTGTATTCTGATGTAGGTGTGTGCATGGCACTTTTCCAGATTTTATAATTTGACAGAATGCAGAAATCTGTGTCACACTAAAAGGTGAAATGCTGATAATTAAAAATCACTAATTAAAATATTTGAGCAGTGTTTTATTTTTAGAAATAATGTTTTAAAGGAACAAGGCAGTTTAGTTATAGCAGAGCTTGGTGTAACTCATCTTGGTGTAATTCATCTTAGATGGTCAAGCACATGACTCCTGTAAAGGCTTTCTTTGTGCTGATTTGGAATTCCCCTTTGTGCTTGCCAGTAGATGCCATCCTTCTATTTGTTTCCTTACAATGTGACCAGTTGGATAAACTGTTCTTTAAACAAATCACAAAGTGAAAGAAAGGAAACCTGGGTGTGAGAGAGTGGGATAGATGGATTGTGAATCTGGTCAAAACACGTGAAAGGATGTGTAAGTTTATTATGCACTACGAAGAAGAACTATTTAAGAAAAGACTTAAAGTTGTCTCTTTTTGTATATTTAATTTTGTGTGTCTACAATCCACATTCTTGTCTCATGCTCCATATTAGTTTTCTTGTCTCCTTTCTAGATATGAAGAATAAATCCTTTTCTTCACTTGCATGTTATATAAGCTTTCTTCTGCAGGTGATGTCATCAGCTTCAGGTAAGAACTTGCACCTACTGAGTCACAGCTTTGGACATCATGTATAGAGTAGTTTTCTAATCTTTGGGCCAGCATGTAGGATCTCAGTCATCTTCACTCCATCATAACATGAAGGGAAAAGCAGAAAAGCCAAAAAAGCCTGAAAAACAGAAAATCAAAAACTCCCCTTAGATCAATGAAAGAATTGAAGTTATAGGGACTGTTGTCCACAAAGTTGGAGTTAAGGGAGGTGGATACAGAGGTATCTATGATAAGAGTCCTCTGAGGGAAATATCAATGAGGAATTTCCTCTGAGAAAATTCTAAATTAATTACTGAATTACTCGATGCTCATCATGGACCGATCTGAAAGTCTGAAACTCCATATAATCCTAATCATTGAGTGAACGTTTTTGTGCTTTTTAAAAAAAGGTTTTTTTAAAACTTGATTTTATTGAAAATGCAGATTTACAGAGACAAAGAGAGCCAGAGAGAGCTCTTCTGTCTGCTGGTTCACTCTCCACGTAGCCACAATGACCCGATCTGAGTCGATCCAAAGCCAGGAGCTTCTTCCAGGTCTCCCAAGCATGTGGGGTCCCTGGACATTGGGCCATCCCCACCTGCTTTCCCAGGCCACAAGAAGGTAGCTGGATGGGAAATGGAGCAACCCGTTAGAATCCCCCACACACAAGGAAGGCAAGGATTTAGCTACTGAGCCATGATGTCAAGCAAAATTTTGTGCTTTTTCCTAGTATTTCTCTCTGATTATCACTGTGAATATTATAGAGGAGTATCTTTATGCTCAACCATAGAAGGGAAAGTAACTAATTTGAAATGTATCTTCATAAAAAGCCCTGTTTTCAGAAGAAGCTATATCCTAAAGCCTCAAATTCGGGGTCCTCACATTTCAACTGGCCTGACAGAAGGAGAAACTTCTGTCCCAGCCTAGGGGAGCAGGTGCTGAACAGCACTGATAAGCTGGCAGCCCACACCACGCTGTCGCTGGCAGATTCAATACGGCATTACTGCAGGCTACCCCTCCATGTACCTTGTCACGACATCGCTAACAGCTTTCATCAGGGTCTCAAATCACACAGCACATCATGGTCAGTTACCAACAATCACATCCAGAAATTTTCAAGCAGAATCTGTCATTTTTCTTCTTTTCTGCGTGTCTCATGGGTGTTGTCACACTTAATGCCATTCATTACCGTATTCTTCTTATAGTTTACTTTTTGCAGTAGGACACAATTCATTCTTCATTTACTTTTCTGTGTATTCGGTTCCTCTTTTCTTGGAGACCAAAATAGGGAATATATGGTTTCTAACGTTGTCCTATTTTAATTGGGATTTATGCATCTTAACATCTATAGCATACAAACCTCCATTCTTCATGACACTTTCCTCATCCCATCTTACAGCTGATGCATGAAATTGCATCTTTATGCATCACAGTTCCTCCACCATAAACTGATAAATCTTTAAAATTCACCAGACACTTAAATTTATGAAAAACAAAATGAAGTTATAATGCAAGATTTCACTGATAACAACATTTAAAATAACACTTGGTATTTTAACTTAATTTTAAGTGATATAATAAAACCTGATTTACCATCCTTTATTACAATAGTAACATACACTGATGACGTTTTTGTTGTTTTAAATTACAAGACTCTAAATTTGGAAATTCAAAATAGCCACTTGAAATGGGCAAAATTCGGTGTCTTCCAGTTAATGTATAGCAAACGGGATGCTGTTCGCTTTGACATTTCTTGATCTTCTGTCTTCTTCCACAGAGAAGCTGATGGTGACCATGCCCGCGCAACATGTGGTGGCAATAGCAGGAGGACAGGCTGAACTCACCTGTCAGCTGTCCCCACCACGCAGTGCAGAGCTCATGGAGATACACTGGTTCAGGGGTGATCATTCCAATCCTGTGTACCTCTACAGAGGTGGCCGAGAAGAAAACGGAGAAGCTGACCCAGAATATGTGGGCCGTGTAGAGTTTGTGAAAGAGACCATTGGAGAGGGCCAGGTGACCCTCAGAATTAATAATATCAGCATCTCTGATGAGGGATCATATCAATGTTCATTTGAAGATAATGGCTTCAGTGACATGGCCAGCCTGAACCTTAGTGTAGCAGGTGAGTGTGGAATACTGTACACCAGGGACCTGGAGACTCCATTAGATAGAATATGTACAAATCCATCTTCATGTTTCCACTATTTCTTCCTTCATTTTTTATATTTCAAATACTTTAAATAAGAAGTACAACTCATTTCTACTGTGAAAATACATAGTGCCAAGAATAAACAATGCAGTTTGTCTGACTAGTAACTTAGAGAGGCACTTACTAATTACCTCCGCTTTGGTTGCAGAACCAAAATTGAGACTCTTTTCCTTTCAATTTTCAGAGTCAATCACAATGCAGTAACTAACTTAATGCTCTTTTCTGATTTCCACCAGCAATTGGCTTGGACACACAGATCCATGTTCAGGCTCCTGACAATAAAGGACTGTTGCTTGAGTGTAAGTCCGAGGGGTGGTACCCACAGCCCAAAATGGAGTGGAGAGACAGCAGGGGAGAGGAAGTTCCACATTCTTCAATATCATACTCACAGGATGGAGCCAAACTATTTCACATGAAGATGACTCTTCTTCTCCAGAACAAATCACAGAACAGTATAACCTGCTGTATTTACAACTCATTAACGGCACATGAGAAAAAAATTAACATCATCCTAGCAAGTGAGTGCTTTGTTGTCTGAAGGGAACCATGGAAAATAGTAATCAGTTAGTGTTAAAGTGCATAGTACGTAGCTAAGTGCCAAATGTGCCTCTTCATAATGATTGTGGGTTTTGTTACTGAAGACGATGTCAGGTGCTAAGAGGAGGACTATAGAAGAAAAACATAAGTCAAGAAAAATATCAACCCATAATTGATGCATTAGAGCTGTTAAAATGTTTAATGTTCATGATTTTATTTTACTCCACAGATATCTGTGTATAAGGATATTAAAGTACTAATTCAGTAACGTTAAGAAAGTTACTAGTCTTCCAAATTATAGCTTTTATATCTTTTTAAGGTTTATTGATTTTTACTTGCAAAGTCAGATTTACAGAGAGAGTCACGGAGAGAAGTATCTTCCATGTGTTTCACTCTCAAAGTAGCCACAATGGCCAGAGCTGAGCTGATCAAATGTCAGGAGCCAGGAGTCTCTTCTGGGTCTCCCACACAGGTGCAGGGTCCAAAGGTTTTGGGCCATCCTTTACTGCTTTCCCAGGCCACAAGCAGAAAGCAAGATGGGAATTGGAGCAGCCAGGAAACACAAACAGGCACCCATATGGGATCCTGGCATATTTAAGTCGAGAACCTCAGCCTTTAGGCTATAGCATCTGACCCTACTTTTTGGATTTTTTTTGGGGGGGGGGTTAATTGACATATATTGAGTAAAGAATATGTTAAAAATAATGCAAGTTCAATTCTTCAAAACATCTGGGTTGAGACAGTATCAAGGACAGGTTCAAAAAAAAAAACAAACAACAAAACAAAAATTGCAGGTTAAATCAAGGCAAACATGTGGTATCTAACCTTTTGGGATTCGCTCATTTCCCTTAGCATTATATTTTCCAGTTGGGCCCATTTAGCCACAAAGAACTGCCTTTTTTTTTTTTTAATAGCTGAGTAGTATTCCATGGAGTAGATGAACCAAAGCTTTCTTATCCAATCTTCTGCTGACGCTTCCATGTTTTTGCAGTTGGTTTGTCGTGAAACAGGTGTTTTGGATATATTCCTAGGAGTGCTATTGCTGGGTCATATGGTATGCAGATTTTGAGTTGTTTGAGTGTTCTCCAGACTGCTTTACATAAAGGCTGTACCAAATTGCAGCTCCACCAGCAATGGAGTAGGGTTCCCTTTTCCCCACATCCTTGCCAACCAGTGTCGTTTGTGTTTTTTTATGTGGGCCAGTCTTACTGGTGTTAGGTGGTACCTCATTGATGTCTTCATTTGGATTTCCCTTATTGTCAGGGAACTAGAGCATTTTTTCATATGTTTGCTTGCCATTTGGGCTTGTTCCTTGTGAAATGTTTGCACATTTCCCGTGCCCATACCTTGAGTGGCTTGTTTGTTTTGGTGTTTTGGTTGTTTTGGAGTTCTTTGTATATTTTGAAGATTAGCCCACTATCTCCTACATAGTGCGCAAAGATCTCCTACTCTGTGGGTTGCTTTTTTACTTTGTTGATTGTTTCCCTTGCTGTACAGAAGCTTCTTAGTTTGATGAGGTCCCATTTGTTTATTCTGTTCTTAACTGCTATTGCTTTTGGAGTCCTTCTTAGAAAGTCAGGGCCTACTCCTAGGTCTTGCAGGGTATTTCCAACATTTTCTTGCAAGAGTTTGAAGGTTTCTAGATGTAGGTTTAAGTCTTTTATCCATGTAGATTGGATCTTAGTGTATGGTGACAGGTGTGGGTCTATATTTTGTGTCTGCAGGCTATCAGCCAGTTGTCCCAACAACATTTACTAAAGAGGCCTTCCCATTTGCTTGGACTGTCGTTGGTCTTTTTGTCAAAGATTAATTGGCTGTATCTGTGTGGGTTCCCTTTTGGTGCTTCTATTCTATTCCATTGATCTTCCTCTCTATCTTTGTGCCAGTACCAGGCTGTTTTGATAACCACTGCTCTATAGTATGTCCAGAGGTTCGGGATTGTGATTCCCCCTGCTAGCTTCTTGTTCTTTAGGATGGTTCTAGCTATTCATGGTTTTTTGTGTTTCCAGATGAATTTTTGAATCATTGTGTCTAGTTCTGTGAAGAATGTTTTGGGCAATTTGATTGGAATTGCGTTGAAAGTGTATATTGCTTTTGATAGTATAGACATTTTAATGATGTTGGTTTTACCTATCCTGGAGCATGGAATGTTATTCCATCTTTTGAGGTCTTGTTCTTTTTTGAATAGTTTGTAGTTTCCTTCGAATAGGTCTCCTACACTTTTAGTTAGATTTATTCCCAGATACTTCATACTCTTCTCTACTATTTTGAATGGTATCTTGCTGGTGAGGTCTTTTTCCATCTTGGGGTTGTTTGCGTACACAATGGCTGTTGATTTTTGTTCATTAATTTTGTACCCTGCCACTCTGCCAAACTCTCGTATAAGTTCTAGCAGTTTCTATTTTGAGTCTCTTGGTTCTGCTATGTACAGGATCATGTCATCTGCATATAGTGAAAGCTTGACTTCTTCGTTCCCCATTTGTATGCCTTTGATTTCTTTTTCTTGTCTTATGGCCTCTGCAAGTACCTCTAGGACTATGTTGAATAGCAGTGGAGATAGTGGGCATCCTTGTCTTGTTCCAGATCTCAGCGGGAAGAGTTCTAGCTTTCCTCCATTCAGTATGATGCTGGCGTTGTGTTTTTCATAGATTGCTTTGATTATGTTGTGGATTTTTCCATCTATGCCTACCTTGGTTAGAGTTTTTAGCATGAAGAGGTGTTGGATCTTGTCAAAAACTTTTTCTGCGTCTATTGATACTATCATGTGGTTCTTGTTTTTTAGCTTTTGGATGTGATGTATCACATTTATGGATTCCCGAATGTTGAACCATCCTTGCTTTCCCTGGATGAATCCTACTTGGTCTGGATGAATGATCTGTCTGATGATTTTTTGAATTCTATTGGCTAGGATTTTGTTGAGAATTTTAGCATCAATGTTCATCAGAGTGATAGGTCTGTAGTTTTCCTTCTCTGATGGTTCTCTATCTGGTTTTGGGATTAAGTAATGTTGGCTTCATAGAATGAGTTTGGAAGGGTTGCTTCCTTTTCTATTGTTTTGAAGAGTTTGTAGAGGATTGGGGTTAGTTCTGTTCGGAATGTTTTGTAGAATTCTGAAGTGAAACCGTCTGGGCCTGGGCTTTTCTTTGTTGGGAGATCCTTGGATGACTGCTTCAATCTCTGCTTCAGTTGTGGGTTTATTTAATTCTTCTGTTGCCTCTGGACTGAGTTTTGGTAAGTGGTGGGAGTCTAAGAACTTTTCCATTTCTTGGTGGTCCTTTAACTTATTGGAGTACAGTTCTTTGTAGTAGTTTCTAAGTATTTTCTTAATGATTGCAGTGTCTGTTGTTATGTTGCCTTTTTCATCTTTAATGCTGTTGATTCTCACTTTCTCTTGTTGTTTTTTGGTCAGTCGGGCCAGTGGAGTGTCTATTTTGTTTATTTTCTCAAAAAACCAACTTTTTGATTTGTTGATTTTATGTATAGTTTTTTTGATTTCTATTTGGTTTATCTCCTCCCTTGTTTTGATGATTTCTTGTTTTCTATTGTGTGGGGCTCTTCTGTTGCTGTTTTTCCAGCTCCTGGAGGTGTGTGGTTAGGTCTTGTATTTGATGTCTTTCTTGGGCCTTGACATGGGGTCCAATTGCGATAAGTTTACCCCTTAGCACTGCTTTGGCAGTGTCCCTCAAGTTCTGGAATGTTGTATCAGAGTTTTCATTGGTTTCCATAAATTTTTTGATCTCATCTTTAATTGCTTCCCTGACCCATTGTTCGTTTAATAGCATATTGTTCAACTTCCAAGAGTGTCTATATTTCCTGGGGAGTTTTGAGTTGTTGATTTCCAGTTTCATCCCATGGTGGTCTGAGAGGGTACATGGTATGATTCTAATGTTTTGGAAGTTATTTAGATTTGCTTTGTGTCCTATCATGTGGTTGATTCTGGAAAAGGTGCCATGTACTGCTGAGAAGAATGTATAGTCTGTGGCCTTAGGATAAAAACTTCTATATATGTCTACTAAGTCCAGTTGTTTTATTGTTTGTGTGAGCTCTGTTGTTTCTTTGTTGAGTTTTTGTTTCGTAGACTGGTCCATTGATGTTAAAGGTGTGTTGAGATCGCCTACAAGAATTGTGTGTGTATAGATGTCTTCCCTTAAGTCTGTAAGTAATTGCTTTAGGTAACTAGGCGCATTGAGGTTTGGTGCATAAACATCAATGATGGTGATTGCTTCTTGATGGATCATTCCTTTCACCAGTATAAAATGGCCTTCCCTGTCTCTTTTGATGTTAGTTAGATTGAAATCTATTTCGTATGAAATTAGGACAGCTAGCCCAGCTTTGTTTTCTCATCCATTGGCATGAAATATCTTTTTCCATCCCTTCACTTTCATTTTCTTTGCATCTTTTCTGGTTAGATGTGTTTCTTATAGGCAACACATAGTTGGGTCTTGTTTGATGATCCATTCCATTAATCTTTGTCTTTTGGTTGGTGAGTTTAGACCATTTGTGTTGAGAGTTAAGATTGAGAGGTTGCGATTTTGCCCTGCCATGTGAATGTGTTTTGTGTGTGTTGTTGTCTGTGTAATTGCCCTTTCTTGTGTGGGCTTTAGTTTGGAGACCTTCCTATTTGCCATCTTTGTTTATGGTTTGCCTCCTTTTTTTTCTGGGTTTAGCGCATTTCTAAGGAGGTTTTGTAGAACTGGTTTTGTGCTGACATATTCTTCTAGTTTTTCCTTGCTATGGAAATATCTGATTTAATTCTCATATATAAATGAGAGCTTTGCTGGGTATATTATTCTTGGTTGGCAGTTGTTTTGCTTCAGGATTTGGAAAATCTTTGTCCATTCTCTCCTTGCTTGTAGGGTCTCTTCAGAAATGTCAGCAGTGATTCTGATGGGTTTTCCCCTGTATGTGATCTTTTCTCTGCTTCGTACTTGTCTCAGGATTCTTTCTTTGACTTCATTGGAGTAGAACTTGAGTACCATGTGTCTGGGTGAAGATCTCTTTGGATCATGTCTGTTGGGAGTTCTCTGTCCGTCTTGTATGTGGGTTGGATTCATGTTCCCAGTGTTTTGGAAGTTTTCCTGTATAATTTTGTTGAGCACCCCTTGCATTCCTGACTCTCTTTCCACTCCTTCGGGAAGACCCATGATCCGAATATTCGATTTCCTGAGGTGATCTTTCATCTCTTGTATCATTTTATTAGCTTTGTTGAGGCTTGTCCCCAGCTGTTTAATGAGCTGGGTATC